AGCAGAAAAAACCAAGGCTTGGTTTGAGCATTTCAGAAGGTGCCATGTTTACAGGTGGGCCTTCAGCCCTGCGCCCTGTGAAGAACAACAGTAACACGAAGATGATACAACTGCAGCCAGCAATGGGGTGAATGACAACACATCGCTGCTGGGAGCTGCACCAGCAAGCAGAGAAAGTTCAAACCGGCAGCACACACTGCTGCTTCCTGAGCCAACACAGCTGGGACAGGAACAGCAACAGGAACCAGCCCCAAGAAGAAGGAAGGAGCACGCAGTCATCAGCTCTGGCAGCTCCCTCGATGCAAAGTGCCACCTCCTCATGGCCTAAAAGAAGACACCAAGCTCAAGGACTGCACAGAAGTCACTGCACAGAAGTCTGAGTGCCAGAGCTGGCGTGCTGCGAGTCCACGCCACGTGTGGGAGCCAAAGAATTCCTCCCAGCACTCCAAGTCTACCATGCCATGGCAGGAAAACTGCCCCTCCTGACTGGGAAACACCATGGAAGCAGCAGGAATGCCTGTAGAAAGAGCCCCAACTTGACAGCATTGCCCTGACAAACCCAGTACTGCACCCCAACTGCAAGTTAAGAATTCAATGAAAACAGGCATTAGGGCTTCAAAACAAGACAGCAGCATGAGCAAGTACTGCTAGGTATGAGCTAAAGCACCAAACAGTTCAGCCAAATCTCTCTGTGAAGGCAATACAGCAGAGCATCCCCATCTCACTGCTGAACAGCTGAAGCCCAAGCTGAGGAGCACACGTTTAACAATCAGCTGAAAGTTAAAGCAGTGGCTCCTTAATGCACAGAGGTGTTTTTCCCTCCTGACCTATTCAGAACTCAAAGTCTCATTCGAATGAAGATGGATTACTGCTCAGTAGCAGTGAGCATAATTAATAAAAGAATGTTTTTCCCCTTAGGGCATATATATGCATCAGAAAATTTATCTTATGGCATCTGAGTTGGCTGCTTCAGAGTTCTCTACAGGAAACTCAGTCCAGTAATGGGAGATAAAATCAAAGCATACAGAACATTTCAAGTTTATTCTTAATGGCTGACAGAGAACCAAATGAAGAACTGGCCTGTATTGTTTTATTAAAGACAGCACTGAAAAAAATCAAACTTAGAGCTCACTGAACATGAATTTAATGTGAATTGTTTGAAGCAATCCAGTTCTCTGACAATAAAGTGGCTTCTGCACCATCTGCCTAAGTTCCTGGAACATGGATTTTAGTAAGCAACACCATCAAGCTAATTACATATCAATCTAAATGTTAGATTTCCACATCACAGTGTTCTTAACTTCAGTTGAGCAGACAGTCTCAAGGTTCTCACCCTCCTGGCAGCGTCAGTCACTGCTCTCAGGGGGCGGAAGCAGCTCTGAGCTCAGCTCTGCACACAAAGACGAGCAGCCAGCTTCCCTCCCAGCAGCCCCTTCAAGATACTTATCGGCCCTTGCTACTTTTGTCTCAGCCAATCTGGCTTTTGCGTGCGTGATATCACAGAGTGGAAAGCACTGTGAGCCTCCCCAGGCTGCTCTGCCCACATCTGTTGCAAGTGAGTGCAGACCCGATCAGTGGTCAATGCAACAAATTAATAATGCATTTTAGAAAGTGAGCACTTTAACAGAGTCATAGTGCATAAAAGACAATTGCAGTTACAAAAAATAAGTACTGTGGAATTGAAAAAATCCGTGCCAACAAGCTAAATGAAGATCATTAGGAAAGCATTAAGAGAAGGAAACAGCACAGAAAGATGGTACTGGGTGCAAGAAGCAGAACACAAAGCAGAGGGAGCAAGAGGAACAAAAAGAACAAGCCCACAACAAGAGAGGGCCTGAAAGGGAAGCTTGGGAAAGACATCAAAGGGGGGCAAGGCAGGGTGGGGTGTCCCAGCCCTGTCTGTCCCAGCTGGAAGGACCAGATACTGGCTGTGTTTTGTGTCAAGCGAGTTCACACACAGCAACCCCTCAAACACAGCACAGACCTGCTCACGTCCCTCTGATGGCAGAGGTGCATCTGCTAATTGAAGTCTATTGCTCTTATTGACAGAACCAAGCTTGAGGAATAATCAAAGCTTGCTTTACCTACCCAACTTCTGAGTTAACAAACTCATAAAATGCTCATAAAATAGGATTTCTTTCTTTTTAATTCTTAGCAGTAAAGCAGAAGACATTTACACAACTCACCAAGGGAAGCACAGATCTATCTCACCCCCATTTAAAAAGAACAACAGGTCTCACAGCATCACAAACTGGTGACAGAATTAGCCAACTCACTGCATTAATCTGGGCTAAAAGGAAGGCACTGCATGCTACGCCACGTTCACAAAGCAGAAGTTCCATTTTTCTACACACAAGTTTCACAAATCTCCAGGAAACAGGCAGAAAGGTGAACATGATGATTTCCTTCCCCTGGCCCCTAACCGTAACAGCAGAAGATCAAGCATTTGCAGAAGCCAGTCCCTGGCACCCTATCAGATCAGCTTTCCCGTGCCAGGGCAGCATTCTGAAAGCAAGCACTGTGTCACTACTCACCTGTAATAGCGCGACTGCAGGTATGTGGAGCACACAGCTTTGGATACGTGGCTGGCTGAACCAAAGTCTATCACCTTCACTCTGTAGGGCTGGCGTGCAGGATCCACCAACATAATGTTTTCCGGCTTCAAATCAGCATGTATCAGACCCAAGCTCTTTAACTTCATCAGGGCAGTAGCCACTTGCTGTAGAATCGGCCGGATGTATTTCAGGGGCAACGGGCTGAATTTGTTTTGTTTTAAGAAATCATATAAGTTCTGTTCTAGCATCTCAAATACAAGGCATGTATGATTCTTGTGTTGAAAGCATTCGTAGGAGCGAACGAAGTTATATTCATCTGCATTCTCACTACTCAGGCGAGAGAGGATGCTCACCTCTATCTGGCCCTGCCTGGCGTAGGAAGGATGGTTCTTCAGGATTTTGATGGCCACAATCTCCTTCGTGCTACGCTTCCAGCACTTTGCCACCTGCCCAAACGTCCCACGGCCCAGGAATTCCAAGACCTCATAGCTGTTTGTCATAGAGCACAGGATCTCATGCTGGACCAGCTGATAATCCCCTTCTCCACTGGAACTGCTGCTCTTTGTGGTTACCGTGGTGGTCGTGGCCGCAGCACCCACCGCAGGTCTGTTTTGCAGCATGAGAGGTGGATGTTCCTCAATTATCTGCACACTACCGTTGCTGTCTACCTCTTCACTTTTCCTTTTTAATCCACATTTTTGGTATGGTTCCAGTAAAGAAAGGTTGGTCCTATGCGTTAGGGTTTGGCTGTTCTGAAAGGATGCTGTCGCACTGCTGCCCGTGCTGTCAGCTGCTGTAACCACAATGTGCTCAACCGAAGGAGCGGGGAGAAGGAGGTTCTGGTCGTACGCAGGGACACTGAAGTTGGCTACCTGATGAGAAGAGCTTGTTTGCCCTTGAGCTGCTGGGAGGTTTTTGCTGTGGGTATAATACTTGTCACTACTGCTCTGTCCTGAAACATCCCAGACAGAGGGCTCCACTTTCAGTTTCTTGGCACTGCAGAAGGCACTCGAGGATACTGACGGAGGGGAAAACACCTGCAGCTGTGAGGCCATACCTGAGGAAGGACAGGAAAACCTATTAGGACCATCCGGCAGCAGCCATCAGAACCAGAAACGCAACACCAAGGATCTCCCCGAGCACCCCCCGGGAAATCCATCTGTGCAACCGCCGACGGTGCAGGCGCCCTCAGCATTACCTCTTCGCCCGCAGCACAACACACAGCAAGCTCCACGCTCAACATCCCGACGGCTGAGGAAAACCGAGCGCATGACGGGAGAGCAGAGCAGAGGAAAGCGGAGCAGAGCAGGAGGAGAGAAGCCGGCGGAGGAGAAGAGAGGCGCCGGGCACGGCCCGCTCGGCTCGTTCGTTGCTTTCCGTTTCCCTCCCCAACGAATGCAGCAGAGGCAGCGTCCGTTCGGAACGGCGCCGTTGCGGAGCCCCGCCGGAGCGCCGGGCCGCGCAGCTCAGCACGCCGCGCCCGTCGCCGGGAGCGCCGCTGTCCCGCCCGCCCGGGCGCCGCCGCCCACAACAGGCCGGGCCGAGCAGCAGGCCCCGCGCGGCCGCAGGCCCGGCCCTCCCCGCCCGACGGCGGCCCGCTCCCGCTCCAGCCGGGCCTCCGCGCCGCCCCCGGCCCGCTCA